CTTCCATGTAGTGGGATTCATATTTGTATTTGGTTTTTCAAATTGAAGACATGTTTTTGAATGAGTTGTAATCCACTATTTCACAGAATGGGGAAAAATGTGCTTTTTAAAAGTCCAAAAGGCCTTGTTTTCCTTATGACATAAATTAAGGGAAAACTTTAAATGTGGTTACAGTAAAAGTCCTCTGAGAAAGAATAAGCTGAAAAAGAATTTATGTTGATAGAGGCAGTGGCATTGGCTTTTTGTTTTATAGTTTGTGCCTTTTACATTTTCTTTTTAAAAGCATGCCCATAAGAGTACATGTGGCATATGCCATTGATGCAAATCCTGAAAGAAAGCAAAGCAATCGTAGTGTAAGGATACACAAAATTAGCCACATTGTTTTTAGTTTAAGGAGGTTTCTGCTGGGAGTGGAGGAAGGAGGGTCTTCAAGGGCTTTGCTAGATTCCTTATTTATGAAATTCTGCTTCTTAATTGAATCTGGGTCTGTAGCTCTTTTTAGCCTTTATTCTTTAAATGTACATTATGTTTTTATGTGTAGAAAGTATTTTATAAAATAGATCCATGAAAGGATGATTATTATTTTGACCGATAAATTGATACTTTATATTTAGACTCTTAGCTACTTTGAGTCCCCCATCAAAATCATATCTTAGGCCATCACCCCGTATGTGAAAAGATGATAGTGCACACATGATTGTGAAATTGTACACTAACAGGAGATAATAAACTCTGATCAAAGTGACCAGAAAGATTGAGCGTCTGTAACAGAAGAGGAAACGGTCTGTCCATTCTCTGATGTGCCATCATTCCTGCTAGAATAGCTGCCCTGGCTCTGGGCCCGCGCATTGCTTCTGAACTTCTTCCTAATGGATGGGATGTTTAGTTTCTCCTGTCTTCCATTTAGAAATCTTAGAAAGTCCTGAAGTAAAGACTTTGAATCAAGAGAGATGCTGGGTTGCATATTTGAAACATACCTTTTGAATCAAGATATCAGCATACAGTAGCCTAACCAAGTTTTGTTTTACTGTTTGTGCAAGTAACACTTTTCACTTTCATGTTTAGGCAAAATCAGAGATCGGATCCAGTATGTCTAAGATATTGCTGTGAGTATGGCACCTTTGTAACGGTGTTACGTGAATCCTCTACTCCCTTAAGATGATTTTGGGGTTTTTGAGGTTTATCTCTTTCTGAAGCATGTCTGGGGGAAAAATGGTTTGAGATCTACAGTTAAGAGTTGTTGGTGTACACCGCCCAATATTGCAGCATGTCCTTCAATAAGATATAGCTTAAAGTGGGCAATAAGTACAACAGTAAGTGAGACTATCCGATGAGTATCCAGAATCTTCACCACTAAAATGCTCAAACGTTTAGTTGGATTCCAAATCACTCAACATAGTGTTGCTTTGGGAGGAATTTGGTCCCTTCTCTCTCTCTCTCTCTCTCTCTCTCTCTCTCTGTGTGTGTGTGTGTGTGTGTGTGTGTGTGTGTATGTGTGTGCTTTCTTTCAGAAACCGTTTATGAGATTGTCATTAGCAAAGGTGAGCCCTGGCCGTTGTTTTTGTTTGTACTGTGCTCTTCATTCTCAGAACTCCATTGTTTGGTCCTTTTTAAAGTCTCTTGAGACTTTTCCATTAGACTGGTTTTGTAGTAATCTGTATTTTTTACTTCAATATTTTTAGCATCCAACATTATTAGAACTAGCTAAGGCAAACTGTTCTCATTCATATTATCTACTAGTGTTCCTGGAAAAATGAGTGAATATTTACTTTAAAACCCAGACAAAGTGAGACAACTTGAAAAAATATTCATACCAATCTGGTCATACTTGTAGAATGTTTGAAATATAAAGTTGAGGAAAAAGAGTTTTCTGTAACATTAAAGCCAGATATTAGTTCCCGAGTCTGAGGCATACTAAAGAAAATTGTTTTGAAAATCTAAGTATTTCAGTTTTATACATGAGGCAGTTGATAAGTCTAAAACACTCCCAGTCATTGAGTGGAGTCTGACCCCTAGAGACAGTTTATGAGCTTTCCCAATTGCTGTCTCGCTCCCCTGCCAGCTTGCTTCCCTTCTTCCTGTCCTTCCCATCGTAGACCCAATACATTAAAATTATATCATTAAAACTCACTGCCACTGAGTCGATTCTGACCCATAGAGACCCTCTAGGGCCCAGTAGCACTGCCTGTGGTCTTCTGAGACTCTTCATGGGAGTAGAAAGCCTCTTCTTTCTCATGTGGAGTAGCTGGTGATGTCGAACTGCTGACCTTGTGGGTAGCAGCCCAACACATAACCTGGGCCATGCCACCAGGGCTCCAAACCCAATACATGATCATAGAAAATTCAGAAAGTACAAAGATTTTTTCATTAAAATTGCCTGTAATTCCAAAATGCAGAGAACCACAATTATTATCAACCTCTTAATATCTGTCCTTCAAAACCATAAAAAAACCAAATTTGTAAAAACTAGGCTCATAAGATATGCTGATTTTCCTTGTTATCCATTATTACATAACATTGTTATGGTTCTCACACTTTATTTTGAATATTTTAATGTCTCACTAACTTTTGTGACTCGTTTCTATTGTTGTTATTATTGTTACGAACAAAGGAGCAAGGCCCTCAGTTTCCTGGCGTTTTAAAATCAATGTCAGGAAGTTTTCTCTTTATTCAGCTTTACCCTGTGCCTGTTGTTTGCTGTCTCCCTTCTGGTAGCTGTTTCAGCATTCAGACTTACTAACAGATTTTGCCTTAACAAATGAACTCGTACATGAACTCCAAAGAACATTCAGGAATAATCCCAGACTATAAATCTCTTAATCGAAGCTCAAAAATGTGCTCTATTTGGTAACTTAAAGGTCTCCATCACATTAAAATAATAACACCTAAGTTGTGGACCCGAAAAGACTCAACCATGCACGCCCACACTCATCGTTGGAACCAAGTTATGATGTAGAATGGAAGCATGGTCCGAGCACTCGCTGGCAGAGAGAATTTCCCATCTTTACTTGTTTCAGGTGGACAGGAGTGCTGGGAAAGGCAGGATATAATTAACTTGCAAGAAAAGCCTTCAAAATGATGGGACCTAGTCATCTCCCCTTTCGAGTCGGTCAAACGCAGTTCCCTCCCACTGATGTCTCTAAATTGCAATCCTGGACAAGGACATTAATGGCTCTAACCGTACAGTGACCAGAGCTTACATTTAAGCAACAAAACTCTAAGAATTAATTTTGAGAACTGCATTCCTTTTGAAAAATGGTTTGAAATGGGCCTCATGCTGGAATCAATTTTTCGAGTGTTTGAAATGAGCAAGAATCCCTTCTCATAGTAGCAGAAGCCCCATTAGTAGCGTGCACAACGGTGTGTTTCCCATAATTATGGCATCACACTTTCTCCAGGAAAATCGCCACTGCGAGGACATTCTTTGAGATGGGGGAAAAAACTGGAACCAGCTAGCACAGGAGTTGAGCTCTCTCTTAGAGTTCAGCTAACACCTGGAAAATCTAGATTCGTGAATGGAAGACTTGTTTAATTTTGGAAGAAGACACATTTCTTTGAAATTGTTTAGACATTTTTTTGAACCAAATATTGGAGAAAACAGGAAGGAAATCACTCCTCCTTTCCTTTTTCTTCATGATTGAGTCTTCAGTGAAATGTTTGAATTAAGTTTGCTTTCCTTTGCTAAGAACCCTGGTGGCATAGTGGTTATGCATCGAGCTGCTAACTACAAGGTCAGCAGTTCAAAACCACCAGCTGCTCCAAGGGAGAGGTATAGTCCCTAAAGAGTTAAAGTCTTAGAAACTCCTGTGCTATAGGGTCCCCAAGAGTCAGCATCGACGCAATGGCACCGAGCGTGGTTCGAGTTCCCTTGTGAAGTCACTCATGGCCTTGCCTATGTTGCTGCCAGAGAAGGGGGAAATGTAGTTCAGCAAACTTCATCTCAAACCAGTGAGAGATAGCCTAGAAAGTAAACCGGTATCAAAGAGACAAGTTTTATTTTGATCCTGCCCTGCATTATACAAGTGGGTGACCAAATGTTGACAGATGGGAGACGTTTCAGAATTGTTGACTTCTTTCTTATGGTATTTTTCCTCTTATATTCAGAAGAAGACAAAACCATTTAAAAACGTGACCAACACCCCTAAAATTGTTCAGTGCATAATCAGATGTATTTTCCCGAGGAATATCTTATTTGGATTTAACCAGATTTGTCTTATGCCGGTAATAAGTTGGATTGTCTTTTCCAGTTCTCAGGTGACAAGCATGAGGACAGAGCTCTCGTTCAACATTCAAGCCCTGGCGGTTTGGGCAAATCTATGCTCAGCCAGAAAGTGAGTGATGGAGGCCTTCTCCCATGCTCAGTCATTGAACTCACGTTTCCAGTAGGCCAGTAGACCACTCCCGCATTCGTTTAGATGCCAAATAGATGGTCCCCTTCTCACTCTTATCGAGACAAATCTGCACTGCTTTTTTGCTAGGCTTTTTTTAAATGGTGAATCAAGGATTCTGAAGAATTGAGCCATATACAAGGGGCTTCAAAAAGTTTTGGGGCAAAAACTGAAATAAAAAGACAACGGACATTTTACAACAAACTTTTCAGAGCCTCCTGATATTACAACCTAGCTAAACAAGTTATTTGATGTCATGAACTTGATTGATTCATTACTCTGCCAATAGCCAATTATGATTGCTGCTTTTCAAAAAGAAACAAGCAATTATTTCAATTTCTTTGATGATAAAAGAAAGCCTAAACATGTAGGAATGTTGACACCCACTTACTTTCTACTCTGTTGAATAGTTGACATTTGTATGTGAAATGTATGTGGTGACATACACCTGTAGTTTTGTTCAACACTGGGAACATTTTCCCATATTGTCATAAATATTTGAGATGATTTAAATGTCTATATAATATTCCAGCCTGTGACTGTAGTAGAATGTATTTAAATGCTTTCTTATTCATGAATATTTCAACTGCATCTACTTTTTCCACTGTGATGAGTAATCCTTAAATATATTTTTAATTTATTATTAATTGGGAGTTAATACATATATCATATCATTCCATAGTTCAATAATCCTAACTATCTTTATGGATTACACTTTGTCTACATACCCGGCTACTTCCTTAAGATTCATGCCTCTATGTCAAATTGCGGGGTCAATGAATGTGATGATTTTAAGGCCCATGGTAAAAATCACCAAGTTACTTTCCTCAAAGGTGATACTAGTATTCTCTACTGTACATTCTCACCAATGGTGAAGTCTGTCATTTTTAAGCTATTATTATTTGGATGCATGAAAATATTTTGCCTGTTTGGTTACTTCTTATGTATAGTTTATAGTTATGCTGTGAATTTTACTTGATGTTCTTGGCTGCAGACTTCCAAGTTATCTATCACACATAGTCCATTGCTATTTGTTTGTCCCTTCTGACTTCTATTTCTAAAACTGAGAGGCTCCCCTGTTCCTCATTAACAAAGGCAGGTGTCTAGATCCAATTATTTTTTCCTGTGGTTTAACACAATGTAACACTTATTATGATA